AGATATTTAATTCTTTCCAGTTTTCGATACCGGATTGAAAATAAAATTTTGCTTATAAACATGCCTACGGACGACCTTGTCTAGTGATGCGGTTCCGCATTTGTGCACCAGGGTGCTCAAATACCAGGGAGCCGTGGCCTGCTTAAATGGTCCCCTAGGCGACTAGAAGCAAGGGAAGTGTGTTTACGCCGCTTCAACCCGGTATCGAAAACTAAAAAGGGTTACAAAGTCTGCTTCCTCGCGTTGGACTTGATGGCGGATGTTAATCTTTGTCCGACGGATTCGAAACTTCTGAAATGTCGTCAAGTAACTGAATGATCGTGATTTCGTGACTGAGTCATTCGTCGAACACTGCGCCAACGAAAAAAAAAACATTTTAAGTATCTAAGACATAAGCGCACATTGCTGCTGACACATCAACGGAGAAATCTATTATCGACAACGGTTTTCCACTGCTTTTCATACAATATACTGTAAGCAATTTCGATCTTCCCGATGGAATATTTGTTTCATAACTTCTGCCGATGATAATCATGGATCCGAAAGCAAAGGAGCTGTCAACATGCTTCACATTTCTCTGTAAATCTCCTCTGTTGAAATTCCCTGGGGCGTATCAAAAAGGAAGAACTTTCAACTTCGATGGCTTCAGCTTTTGTTGATACAAGGCGTTAGCTATTTTAGTTCCCGTAATTATTGTCTGAAGAGTTTTTTCAACTCTGTTCGCAATCACCGAAGTGTTATCAGCACAATCCAGATCTGCAAACGGCGCTCTAATGAAACATGATTTTGCTAACAAAATTCGCAATCGTCATCGTACAAGAACAGCAGTTCAACAGCACCAGCTGAGTGGCTGACCCTTCTCACACTTTGCTATCAGTCGCAAAGCCATCTGAGACCACCTAAAGTCTTTTGGACCCCTCACTGCGGACATAGTGATGCAAATCAGATATCCTTAAAGATGGCGGCATTCAATATATACACAATAATAAGCATATTATTGTATACCTTCCATAATCTGAAAGTCGCAAAGGTATGGTGTTTAAGCAGCGCCTATCTAAACTAAAACGAGGCTGGAAATCTTCGCACTAGAATAAAAAAAACTCATGGGACGGATTTGCTTTTCACATTTGGAATTTTTGTCACGGTCTCATAAACATCTTATTGTGAAAATCACAGACAGGCATACATACCTTTCTGGATATCAAAGCGGTTTCTACGAGATTCCTGAACCTTCCAATGGTAGGATCTATGTCTTCTAAAACCAATAAGCGTTAAGAGAAGTTTTGGCTGCTGATTCAATTGATGCCTTTACCTGGGTTGATAATCTCCTCTTCGTCATTAAACGAAACCCTATAAGCGTGATGTTTCCTTTTAAACGTCTTAAAATCCTCTTCCGGGACGGTCATTGTCGCTATCCGTCGGTTGAGGGCGGTATTGTACTCGGTCAAATTCTACGAAGAACGGAATTGCGCGTTTTAGCAATAAGTTAACAACGGAAATACCTCCAGTTCTTCTTCTTCTTCTGGAAGGCCTAGTAATTTTGCTGATTTACCCTCCAGGATTAGTGCTTCAGTTTCATCCATGGACATGGCACCTGACGGGCGTTCTCGAAGTATATATCTTCTAGACGAAGCACCGAAATGAAACACCTGATCCAGCAGGAGCTGTTCAGGTTTGTATGCTTCTAAACGCACCGTACCGATGAACGTGCCATGGGCTAAAAAATCATTCCAGATTTATAGAACGTTTTCTCGAACTCCCCTGTCACAACGAATGGCAGAAATCCTGAACAACAGAAAAACTGCAAAAAAGTATGACTACAATCTCCATTCGTTATCCATTTC